TATAATGAGCCTTAGTAGAGTGATATCATGTGTTTTAATCCACGAATCAGAGATCAGCATAGAAGTATTTTGGTACTGTATTGGTTATGCAAAAAATAAAGGTGGGGTAGAAGAACCTCAACTATTCCTTTCAATGGAAAAAAATTCAATACAGGCAAGAGAATTACTTATCTGGATTCAGAGATCAATACTAGATAAATTTCTCTTCTTGTTAAAAGATAAGAATGAGAATATAATGTTGCATCTCTTAATCAATTCTTAAATTGCCATAGAATTACCTCATATATGTTAAGAAAAATAGGTACTAATTATGCTTCCAGAGTACATAGAGGTAAGAATGATACTGGCCATTAATATTTATGACAATTGGCATGTAGGTATAAGATAGGCTATGCTTCATTAGTCGAACATTATGGTGTAATGAATGACAGACCAATTGCTCTAATAACTAGAAAAAAAAAATACTAAGATATCAGATATTATAGATCTATACAATTACTAATCACGCTTCTTTGCTTTGAAAACTTGTATATATATTTCATTCTCATCAATACTAGAATATTTGGAAATGCATATCATGGATTACAAATAATTTTATTTAGTAGTAGAGAATGGATAATTATTTACCGAGTTATTTTTTTAGTTATAATATATATCATTAAATAATATTACAAGAAGCATGTTATTCCGGCTATAGAATAGAGCAAGTAATCAGATATTTAGCAGCCTCTAGCTAATTTCAAACAAAGAATTTTTATTTGCTATGATGTATATATATCTGTGATAATTTTCCTTGTTCTACTTTTGATTCTAGACATGGGCACTGATTGTCACTAGCCGATTTTTTAACAAAAATCTTATACAATTGTTGAAGAGAGACATTCAAAAATAATGGTAGTCCTTCATTAGTAAACCAAATTTTCTTTACCCTACTATTGATGAATTTCTGTATTAATACACTTGGAATATCTTCTAAGAGACTATGAAATTCTTCAAACTTTTAGAGGTATACTCTCGTATTTTTATTAGCTTCTTTTGCCATTTCTTGATTAGTATAACCAACAATACCAAGTTCTTTCTGAATTGTTGCTATATCGTCTTTTAAGTATAAAAGCAAATCAAATAATCTAATTAGTTTATTTGAAGAGGCTTTATTCCTTCTAAGTTCTGCATCTAAAATGGGATTGATATCTATACTAAGTTTTATCTATATAGATATTAAATCTCTTACCAATTCTAATAGCAATTCATATAAATTAGCAAGTTCTTTCACTTTCTTACTCTCCAACACTGCCATTTGATTTATATTATTGTTAATACCAAGTTTTTTCTGAATAGCTATTATATCTTTTTTCTTATATAAAAGCACCTCGTATAATTGAAGAAATTTTTCACTTGGATCAGTATTATTATTAGTATTACTCGTCATGATTGTTATAATTAATGCGAAAAAATATATAAATTAAGTGAATACAGCAAATTCAATCTGAAAATAATTATAACCACATCATAACTTCAAAATCACATGACATTATAATGAGCCTTAGTAGAGTGATATCATGTGTTTTAATCCACGAATCAGAGATCAGCATAGAAGTATTTTGGTACTAACCAACTTACTAACCGTACTTATTGCAGAGCAATGACCCTTTGGGTTTACTCTTAAGCTAAATTATTTATCCATGATTGCCAGCAAAGATCGAGCGATAAATCACTGGCATATAAACATATATTCACAAGAATAAGCAATATAGATATAGATAAACTATCAAAAGATGACCTATTATACATTGGAATTATTGATCTTAGTTCGGATAAATATAATATTTCAGAAAGTAATTTTAAATCTCTTGTTGTACATATATAATATCTAAAAAAACTCAATGCTTCACATCACCTATTCCTTGGAATAATGCTTTGATCTTACTAGATAAAAGTATAGTAGTGAAAGCATAGGCACTGCATGACCTTGTCTATAACAAAAAATCATGATTAACGATAATATATACTTTGTCAAGTCAATAAAGAGTTAGATCGTCAAACCACAACACTAAGATTTTGCAGAAATGTGGTACAAACTATTCAAGTTATTTGTATTACAAACTTTATTTTTTATGTATTATCTTTAATGCTATAATAGTAATAGAAAAAAATTCTACAGTAATACATAAATACTGAAGTACTATACATACCATAATTTATACTGATTATTTTTTTAATATGGTTATGTCTCATAGTATGAGGATGGTTTGCGTCTAAAATAATGCACATATTTGTTTGCAGGCTTTTCTTTTGAATATTTATTTTTATAGCTAATCTGAAATTACAATACGTAAAATTGCATGTTGGGTGAACATTCACGCAATGTTTTATACATGACCGAATCATCTAATGGAACAAAATTTGAATTATTTATTACCATTATACAATTATCATAGGATGTAGAAATATTTATAGCTTAGGGAAGCTACCCCTAAAAACAAATATGAGGCTAATCCTCTTTATTTATATTTTCCATACAGGAAGGTAGTTGGCTACCTTCTATATTGGGTATACTAATATCACTGTCATTTTGTAATGCAGATATATTAGAGGTTGAGGTAGTATTTACCAAATTAGATAAAGATGAGTATGTCACATTATCTAAATTTCTATCTACATTATTAGTGTTATGGCCTGAATTCCTATCCGCATTATTTACATTATTTATATTATCTCGATTAGTAGTTTCATCTCTTCTGGTAGGAATTCTCTGGGCTGGGAATGCAGATTGATCCCTTTGACTAGCAAGAGATTCACAGCAACTCATATTTAGCATTGATGAAACTTCTTCATAGGTTGGTAGTGGAGTACAGTTTTGCTGTCTTTCTTCTCTTCTTCTTTTTGAGGATGCATTTACATTATATATCTGATTAAACTGTGTTTCTAGATTTTTTTATATATAATTAACAAATTAATAATTTGTTTCTATTTCAAAGACACCTATAGCAAAGGTAGACGAATATTCGAGATTAATATAGAACCTTACCTGGTCTTTTCTAAAAACATGAACAGAATTCCTCAAAGTATCGTACTCCGGTTCTGGTTCTATGCTCTGCATGATTTCCTGCCATATATTGGTATATCAACTAAAGAGAATCAAGAAAATTATTAGGTTATAACCTAATTATGGTTCAATCTGTTAATAAGTGCCTTCGGTAAAAATACTTACAGTGTAATCTCTTACAAGATTTTGAAATTTACCCTTGTATTGATATCCCGTATAGTTGGTACTAAATCTCTCATTAATTATATTCGCAATATTATTCCAAAACTCACCCTACTACTTCCAGGAATATTGTGATACTCAGCATTTCTATTTCTTCTTTCAGCAATTAATAAGTGCAATTGATTGTTGGTCCACATCACTAAGATTCTAATGCAACTCAACCACGATACACCTGTTTTTCATAGAATTATATAGAAAAAAAATACTGCAACTCAACTGCGACTCAACAGTGATTAGTATTATTAGATGACACAACCAAATTAATCGTCAGATAATCATAGTATAGCATTCTAAAGAAGTATGATTTTTATTACATCTCGGACCAAGTGATCCAAAATAAAAAATTTCATATGGAATAAAAATCAAAAGGGGGAGGTAAGTGGTTAGAATTATATTAAAAATTTATTAATATATACACATTAAACAATGATCCAAAGGGTTGAGTCTCCGATTTTCTTTAACATATAAAAATCAGATAAGTATGAAACTAATTTCAGGTTTGGTGATCAATTCATTCACGAATTAATTAGTATGAGCCGGGGGTTGCTCAATCTTCTGTTGCTCTTGATTTTATAGGCTTCTTTGATTTTCTTCTTTGATATGGCATATGATATGTATTACGAAGTAATGGCACTTACGTGCCTAATCGAATATTTGTATTATGCTCAATTTTATTACTAGTGTTATGGCTTTGGGAGAGCAAATATTTGTAATCGGCATGATCAATATTCATATATACATGATTTTTATTCATATGAGAAAAAATAAATTGTGATATTTATTAGTATATAGTTATTAAATCAAATAGGTCTAAATCCCTAAATATGATATAAATCACATAATCTCTAAAAACACTATAATATGTTAAATTACTTAATCATTAAATATGGTCTATACAGATAATTGTCCAGTTTTAAATGATATCATATGGAGAGATAACTGCCAATTTTCAGTAATTCGTGATGAGGAAATACCATCTAATTGGAAGAACCAAATCTGGAATCAATTAGTGAATTATAGAAATAATAATAAATTGACTAATTACAATAAGCGATATTTTATTGCCAGAAAGATGTAATCTACAGAAGGATTCAGTGAATATTGCTATATGTTATAGCTGTGATCAGTTTGTTTATGTTAATAAAAGAGTAGAATATGAATTATATCACAATTATAAGATGGAGGAATATTGGTGTACAAATTGTACTGGAAATAGACATTGTGATATATATTTCAAAGAGTATATGGACTTAAACAAAAACTAGAAGTAGAAAGCGATATTTATACAAGGTTAGCTATTTATCGATATGAATTACAAATAGAGAATCTTATCAATAGAGTTAAACATATTTGAGAAATAGCAAAAAAGATCTGAGCATGTACAACTATACAGAGAAAATGGCTAGAGTATTTCTATAGACCTGAAGGTAGGGTTCCACAATTTGATTTGATTTGATTTGATTTGATCAAATATTTGAACTCAAATCAAATTCAAATATAGA